TAACCTTTACCCCTACCTGGACAACCGTCCCCCACCTTTTTTTGGTGTACTTTTTGCAACAGGTGCCCTTTTCCCGGCTCAAACTCTAAATTTCCCAGGGCTCACTTTAAAGTGTTTTTTTTGATTTTCGATGCATTTGCGTTGATTATAGGGTTTTTGAGGACAATAGGAGGGGTAGTCTCTTTTCTTTTTTCTCTCTTCTGTTCGCTCCGTCTTCTCTCTCTCTCCCCTTCTCTCTCTCTCTCTCTCTCTCTTCTTCTCTCTCTCTCCTCTTTTCTCTCTCTCTCTCTCTCTCTCCCCTTTCCTCTCTCTCTCTCTCTCTCTCTCCCTCTCTCTTCTCCTCATAGCTGTGCTATCAGAAACAGGTCCCAGGGAGATTGGGTTTGACCCTGCGGACAGCACACTCCTTATCAGACGGCCGTTTTTGACTGGGGTTGATGTCGATGGGGGATTGTCTCCTGGGAGGTGGAGGAGCCCCAGGTGGTCTTCCTGGGAGGCTGAGAGGAGCTCCAGATGGTCTTCCTGGGAGGCTGAGAGGAGCTCCAGGTGGTCTTCCTGGGAGGCTGAGAGGAGCTCCAGGGGTCCGGTGTGGGACTGGTCACTGGTGTTACCCTCCTCTTCGTCAGACACAGACAGGTTCTCTGAGCTGAAGGTGGAGTGGGACTGGAACGACCTCATACAAGCGGGGAGGTCTGGGGGAGGGGAGGGGAGGGAGGGGGGAGGATGAGGGAGGAGAGAGAGACAGAGGAGAGAGAGGGAAGAGGGAGAGAGGAGAGGAGGGGGAGTGAGAGGAGAGGGAGTGAGAGGAGAGGGAGAGAGAGGGGAGGGAGGGAGGAGGAGAGGAGAGGAGAGGAGAGGAGAGGAGAGGAGGAGGAGAGGAGAGGAGAGGAGAGGAGAGGAGAGGAGAGGAGAGGAGAGGAGAGGAGAGAGAGAGAGAAGAGAGAGAGAGAGAGAGAGAGGAGAGAGAGGGTACGAGGAGGGAAGGAGAGGGGAGGACGAGAGGACGAGAGAGAGAGAGAGGAAAGGGAGAGGGAGGAGGGAGAAAGAGGAGAGGGAGAGAGAGGGAGAGAGAGGAGAGGGAGAGAGGATGAGAGGGAGAGAGAGAGAGGGGAGAGGGGAGGAGAGGGAGAGGGAGGAGAGAGAGGAGCGGGAGAGGGAGAGGAGAGGGAGAGGGACAGGGAGAGGAGAGGAAAGAGAGAGAGGGGAGAGAGAGAGGAGAGGGGAGCGAGAGGAGAGGGAGAGGAGAGGAGAGGAGAGAGAGGAGAGGGAGAGGGAGAGAGAGTGAGGGAGGGAGAGAGAGGGAGAGAGAGAGCGGAGAGGGGAGAGAGAGGAGAGGGAGAGGGAGAGGGAGAGAGGAGAGGGAGAGAGAGGAGAGGGAAAGGGAGAGAGAGGGAGAGGGAGAGAGAGGGAGAGAGAGGAGAGGGAGAGGGAGAGAGAGAGGAGGGGGGGAGAGGAGAGGGAGAGAGAGAGAGGAGGGGGAGAGGGAGAGAGAGGAGAGGGAGAGGGAGAGGGGGGGAGAGGAGGGGGGGAGAGAGAGAGCAGGGGGGAGAGAGAGGAGAGGAGAGGAGAGGGAGTTAATGTGGGGTAAAAGACAACAGTCAGATAGTAATCAAACCAGTTCTATTTGTATATGTCAACTGGTAGAACCCATTAGAGGATGATTGTGAACCTGAATAGCTGAGGAGCAACGATTAATATTATAGTAAAGATTCATATGAGCAGCCTCTCACCTCTGTCTCCGTGGAAACTCCACCTCACTGTCCACCTCTCCCTCCTCCTCCTCTGACGACTCATCACCAGCCTGAGAGACGAGGCATTACAGACCAGCACGTTAAAAGACAGTTAGACATTATCAACCTTTCACTGCTGCTGTCCAGCCTCCTTCACAGACTTTACTCTACACAGACCAGCATTTTAAAAGACAGTCAGCCGTGTAAATGAACTGGGCTACAGAGGAAACACTTCAACCATCCCCTTTAAGCATTCAGACAGGCTTTCTGAAGTGATGTGGGAGCAATCTCAGCATTTATATGAATAACTGTACATCTTTGAAACAGGTAAAACTCCCCTCTTTCTCTCTTTCTCTCTCCTTCTCTCTCTCCTTCTCTCTGTCTCTGTCTGTCTTACCTTCCTGAGGGGCCTGAGGCGTGGGAGGCTCTCCTGCTGCTCTCCCTTCCCCTGGGCCTCTCTCACCGTGGGGTCAGGTACTCTGGACAGCAGGGAGTAGTGTGGCAGCTCTGGGTGGCTGGGGGCCGGGGGGGTCTCCTGGCAGTGCAGGCAGCCTGGGAAGGGGTGTGCCTGGCAGCAGGGGCACAGTGTCCCGCCCCTCCCCCCGGGGCCTGACACAGAGGTGCTGCGCTGACGTGAGTCTGACACCACGGCCGTAGAGATGATGTCAGGGCTGGAGCCCGACAGGCGGCGTTGGAGGTGGTCTGTCTGGGGGCTGCGCAGGGCCGCGGCCGGGCCGAAGTACCTCAGGTTGTTGGCACAGTTGACCACCGCTTCCTCTCTGTTCTTCAGGGGCAGCAGAGGGCCCTCTGGTGGGGGGTGGTGGTGGTGCTCGTAGTGCTCTTGGACAGCACCCCCGGTGGCAGGATGATGGTACTGCTCCCCTAGAGGCTGGGGCTGGTACTGCTCCTCTGTAGCTCCCGCCCCCGGCCCGGTCTTCAGAACCCCGGGGAAGTCGCTGTGGGAACCCTTGCTGTTGGCCCGACGGTGCCGGGGCTTGCTGCGGTACCTCTGCTTGCCGGGTGGCGTGGAAACCTTGGGGCTGGCAGAGAGGGACGAGGGGGACGGGAGCACCTCCATACTGGGGATACCTTCAGAACGCAGCAGGTCCGGCCTTGAGGGGTCAGAGGTTAAAGGTCAGGGAGTGGTGTCAGTAGTATACTAACACTGCTTCTCAAACAATACAAACACACTCTCCAAGGAACATAAATGGTATGAGGGAGAAGTAAACCCTGTCCATACGTGCCGTTCACCATGTTCATCTTTTATAAAGTGAGATCTCTGACCTTTTAGCAGGGGGCATGTTGCCTTTCTTCTTGATGAGTTTCTCTACGGCGTTGGGTCTGACGATGGGCCGCATCAGGTGGGAACGCTTGTAGTTACCTGGATACTTCTTCTCCACAGCCAGCTCTCTCCTACAGGGGGGGGGGGTGTTACAGAGTTTAGTAACGAGACACTGATGACTCAGTCAAACTGATCTGTGTTTTGTTGGAGATATGGATCCCCATGCCAAGGCAGCAGCTACTCTTCCTGGGGTCCAGCAAAATTAAGGAAGTTATACAATTTAAAAAACATTATAATAAATTCACAGATTTCACAACAGACTGTGTGCCCTCAGGCCCCTACTCCACCACTACCCCATATCTACAGTACAAAATCTTTACTCAAAGCCAGTGGCATGTCGTTAGTAAAGATTGAAAAAAGTAAGGGGCCTAGACAGCTGCCCTGGGGAATTCCTGATTCTACCTGGATTTTGTTGGAGAGGCTTCCATTAAAGAACACCCTCTGTGTTCTGTTAGACAGGTAACTATTTATCCACAATATAGCAGGGGGTGTAAAGCCATAACACATACGCTTTTCCAGCAGCAGACCATGATCGATGATGTCTTCAAGAGAGCGAGAGTTGCACCCCTTCTCAAAAAACCAACACTCGATCCCTCTGATGTCAACAACTACAGACCAGTATCCCTTCTTTCTTTTCTCTCCAAAACTCTTGAGCGTGCCGTCTTTAGCCAACTCTCTTGCCATCTTTCTCAGAATGACCTTCTTGATCCAAACCAGTCAGGTTTCAAGACTGGTCATTCAACTGAGACTGCTCTTCTCTGTGTCACGGAGGCTCTCCGCACTGCTAAAGCTAACTCTCTCTCCTCTGCTCTTGTCCTTCTAGACATGTCTGCTGCCTTTGATACTGTGAACCATCAGATCCTCCTCTCCACCCTCTCCGAGCTGGGCATCTCAGGCGCTGCTCACTCTTGGATTGCTTCCTACCTGACAGGTCGCTCCTACCAGGTGGCGTGGCGAGAATCTGTCTCCGCAGCACGTGCTCTCACCACTGGTGTCCCCCAGGGCTCAGTTCTAGGCCCTCTCCTATTCTCTCTATACACCAAGTCACTTGGCTCTGTCATATCCTCACATGGCCTCTCCTATCATTGCTACGCAGACGATACACAACTAATCTTCTCCTTTCCCCCTTCTGATAACCAGGTGGCGAATCGCATCTCTGCATGTCTGGCAGACATATCAGTGTGGATGTCGGATCACCACCTCAAGCTGAACCTCGGCAAGATGGAGCTGCTCTTCCTCCCGGGGAAGGACTGCCCGTTCCATGATCTCGCCATCACGGTTGACAACTCCGTTGTGTCCTCCTCCCAGAGTGCAAAGAGCCTTGGTGTGACCCTGGACAACACCCTGTCGTTCTCCGCTAACATCAAGGCGGTGACCTGATCCTATAGGTTCATGCTCTACAACATTCGGAGAGTACGACCCTGCCTTACACAGGAAGCGGCACAGGTCCTAATCCAGGCACTTGTCATCTCCCATCTGGATTACTGCAACTCGCTGTTGGCTGGGCTCCCTGCCTGTGCCATTAAATCCCTACAACTCATCCAGAATGCCGCAGCCTGTCTGGTGTTCAACCTTCCCAAGTTCTCTCACGTCACCCCGCTCCTCCGCACACTCCACTGGCTTCCAGTTGAAGCTTGCATCTGCTACAAGACCATGGAGCTTGCCTACGGAGCTGTGAGGGGAACGGCACCTCCGTACCTTCAGGCTCTGATCAGTCTCTACACCCAAACGAGGGCATTGCGTTCATCCACCTCTGGCCTGCTGGCCCCCCTACCTCTGCGGAAGCACAGTTCCCGCTCAGCCCAGTCAAAACTGTTCGCTGCTCTGGCACCCCAATGGTGGAACAAGCTCCCTCACGACGCCAGGACAGCGGAGTCACTCACCACCTTCCGGAGACACTTGAAACCTCACCTCTTTAAGGAATACCTGGGATAGGATAAAGTAATCCTTCTACCCCCCCCCCCCCAAAAAAAAAAAAAAAGACATATTGTAAAGTGGTTATCCCACTGGCTATAAGGTGAATGCACCAATTTGTAAATCGCTCTGAATAAGAGCGTCTGCTAAATGACGTAAATGTAATTGTAAATGTAGTGTCAAAAGCCACACTGAAATATTTTTATCATCACTCATTTGTGTAAGTGCTGTGCTTGTTGAATGTCCTTCCCTATAAGCATGCTGAAAGTCTGTTGTCAATTTGTTTACTGTAAAATAGCATTGTATCTGGTCAAACACAATTTTTTCCAAAAGTTTACTAAGGGTTGGTAACAGGCTGATTGGTCGGCTATTTGAGCCAGTTAAGGGGGCTTTACTATTCTTAGGTAGCGGAATGACTTTTGCTTCCCTCCAGGCCTGAGGGCACACACTTTCTAGTAGGCTTAGATTGAAGATATGGCAAATAGGAGTGGCAATATCGTCCGCTATTATCCTCAGCAATTTTCCATCCAAGCTGTCAGACCCCGGTGGCTTGTCATTGTTGATAGACAACAATTATTTTTTCACCTCTTCCACACTCACTTTACGGAATTCAAAATTACAATGCTTGTCTTTCATAATTTGGGCAGATATACTTGAATGTGTAGTGTCAGCGTTTGTTGCTGGCATGTCATGCCTAAGTTTGCTAATCTTGCCAATGACAAAATCATTAAAGTAGTTGGCAATATCAGTCGGTTTTGTGATGAATGAGCCATCTGATTCAATGAATGATGGAGCTGTTTGCCCTTTTCCCCGAAATGTCATTTAAGCTGCTCCAAAGCTTTTTACTATCATTCTTTATGTCATTTATCTTTGTTTCATAGTGTAGTTTCTTCTTCTTTTTATTCAGTTTAGTCACATGATTTCTCAATTTGCAATACGTTTGCCAATCGGTTGTGTAGCCAGACCTATTTGCCATCTCTTTTGCCTCATCCCTCTCAACCATACAATGTTTCAATTCCTCATCAATCCACTGTGATTTAACCGTTTTTACAGTCATTTTCTTAATGGATGCATGCTTATTAGTAACTGGGATAAGCAATTTCATAAATGTGTCAAGTGCAGCGTCTGTTTGCTCCTCATTACACACCACAGACCAGCAAATATTATTTACATCAACAACATAGGAATCACTACAAAACTTATTGTACGACCTCTTATACACTATATTAGGCCCAGCCTTTGGAACTTTGGTTTTCCTAGATATGGCTACTATATTGGGATCACTACATCCTATGGATCTGGATACTGCTTTCAAGCTAATTTCTGCAGCATTAGTAAAGATGTGGTCAATACATGTTGATGATTTCATTCCTGTGCTGTTTGTAACTACCCTTGTAGGTTGATTGATAACCTGAACCAGGTTGCAGGCACTAGTTACAGTTTGAAGCTTTTTCTTGAGTGGGCAGCTTGATGAAAGTCAGTCAATATTTAAATCACCCAGAATATATACCTCTCTATTGATATCACATACATTATTAAGCATTTCACACATGTTATTCAGATACTGACTGTTAGCACTTGGTGGTCTATAGCAACTTCCCACCAGAATGGGCTTTAGGTGAGGCAGATGAACCTGTAGCCATATTACTTCAACAGTATTTAACACGAGATCGTCTCTGAGCTTTACAAGAATGTGGTTCTGAATATAAACAGCAACACCTCCACCACTGGCATTCCTGTCTTTTCTATAAATGTTATAACCTTGTATTGCTACCACTGTATCAAAGGTATTATCTAAGTGAGTTTCAGAGATGTCATCTGTTACTAGCAAATTACTGATTTCATGAACCTTGTTTCTTAGGCTACATATGTTAACGTGGGCTATTTTGAGCACTTTTCTTCTGGGATGCTTACTTGTTTTCATTGCTTTACTGGGAAGCGTAGCAGAAGTAGACATGCTCATGTTATTTATATTGGAGCTGATAGTGCAGGGTGAGCTGCACACAGTGGTCTTCCTACTAGGGCACACCACCTCAGTGCTAACAGTATAACTCTGGTTCATAGGGATATGATTACTGCATACAGTAGCTGTAGGATCAGCAGAGGTATTCAGGGCAATTAGGGGAACATAAATTAAGTTACTTACATTGTGTTTACCAATGCCCCTGGTATAATGTACATTTGCTAAAGCATTATGACAACTCAGCATCACAATGGTAGCGATTAACTGAGCTGGGCTTGGGTCATTGATAAGTCATTGTCTCAACGCAGCCTTATAATGCTGTGAAAGGATCCAGGAACCCAAATGATTTGGGTGGATCCCATCCTCCTTATAAAACGTGTTTTGTTTCCGAAAGATATCGAAATTGTCAACAAAAGTTACACTCATTGAGCTGCAATAATCACGTAGCCAGTTGTGAAGAGAAAGAATCCTGCTAAAGCATTCAATGCCACGATTCAGAGAGGGCACAGGGCCAGATATGATGCCATGATTCAGAGAGGGCACAGGGCCAGATATGATGCCATGATTCAGAGAGGGCACAGGGCCAGATATGATGCCATGATTCAGAGAGGGCACAGGACCAGATATGATGCCATGATTCAGAGAGGGCACAGGACCAGATATGATGCCATGATTCAGAGAGGGCACAGGGCCAGATATGATGCCATGATTCAGAGAGGGCACAGGGCCAGATATGATGGGTCTTTTGTTAGTGTCTAGCAGAGAGTCAATCAGTTATTTTAAACCCAGTTTCAACTGTTCAGAGCTGCCCTTCATAATCATTAAAACCCACATGGACTACGATAGAATCGATTTCCATGTCCTGGCGTAGTACATTCGGGAGCAGCTTAGTAATGTAATTTACTCGGGCTCCGAGATAAGACATTGTTTACGCACCAGGAACAATAACATTTCTTAACATGGAGCGGACTAAAATCACGGCTGGCGAGAAGGACGAGGAAATCCGCCCACTCACACGCTTCACGGGATTTGGAGAACCCTTTATGGACATGCGAGAGGCAGGATAACTTGAGCCCGTTGCTCCCGGCACCTGGTGCAGGCCTCCAACAGATGGAGAAGCCCCGCTCGATCCAGAGCAGGGACAGAAGGTTGCCGACGTCGACTTCTAAATCATAGGAGGAGTAGGCACTGCGGCCGCAGACACAGGCACCCCCAGCCACGAAGGAGCAGGAAGATCAGGCTCCAGGACGGCGAAACTATTTGTTGTTTGTATCCGCTCCGGGCCTCTCGTTGGGAGTGTAGACTGCTTTGCGGGAGGTCTTCGGCTTCCACGGCTCGTGACATGCGACCATCGTTGATTGCCATGGTCCTCTTGCTGTGCTCCTTCGACTCTGCTATCAGATGGGGGAGATTCGCTCCGGGCAACAACGGCCAGTCGGATAACTACAAACGACAAGGCTGAGATGCATCCAACAAGCGCGAACGCCGTCCAGCCACCGGCGTAGAAAAGGTTGACATTCCACTCTGCGTTTTCCCCAGTTTCTTACGTAGGCTGGTGACCTGCGTGATCAAGGAAGCCACCTCAAGCCTATAATCCTCGGCAAGCGAACAATGTTGCATTGGAACTATGAGAGATCCGGTTTGTCCCAAAACTAAGCATAGTAGATACAGCTCCTACACCACTGGAACCGTTCATTTAGTTCTCCAGACAAAGAGGCTCCATTGGAAAACTCATCTGGTACTAACTTCGTTAGCTTGATGGCTAGCAGCTTAGCGTCTCTGTCAAGCAGGCTTCAACCTGTCTGTTAAGCGGGATTCCAGAACAAGAAACAGCGGTCCTAGCTGTTAAAAGCTAACCGTGTCATGGAATCCATGCAAAAACAAGTTAGGTATTTATATTTAACAAATATTGGTATTTATATTTAACGAATATTGGTTATGTTTTAGTCAAAAATATCAAACTGAGTGTTTCCAGCATACAGTGTTCAGCTGTGCACACTGATGACATCACTGATGACATCACTCTCCTGTTCTTACTATAACAGTAGTGAAGTATAATGTCGGGTCCATATTGCTAGTTAACTAGTATAATGTCGGGTCCATATTGCTAGTTAACTAGTATAATGTCGGGTCCATATTGCTAGTTAACTAGTATAATGTAGGGTCCATATTGCTAGTTAACTAGTATAATGTAGGGTCCATATTGCTAGTTAACTAGTATAATGTAGGGTCCATATTGCTAGTTAACTAGTATAATGTAGGGTCCATATTGCTAGTTAACTAGTATAATGTAGGGTCCATATTGCTAGTTAACTAGTATAATGTAGGGTCCATATTGCTAGTTAACTAGTATAATGTAGGGTCCATATTGCTAGTTAACTAGTATAATGTAGGGTCCATATTGCTAGTTAACTAGTATAATGTAGGGTCCATATTGCTAGTTAACTAGTATAATGTAGGGTCCATATTGCTAGTTAACTAGTATAATGTAGGGTCCATATTGCTAGTTAACTAGTATAATGTAGGGTCCATATTGCTAGTTAACTAGTATAATGTAGGGTCCATATTGCTAGTTAACTAGTATAATGTAGGGTCCATATTGCTAGTTAACTAGTATAATGTAGGGTCCATATTGCTAGTTAACTAGTATAATGTCGGGTCCATATTGCTAGTTAACTAGTATAATGTAGGGTCCATATTGCTAGTTAACTAGTATAATGTAGGGTCCATATTGCTAGTTAACTAGTATAATGTAGGGTCCATATTGCTAGTTAACTAGTATAATGTAGGGTCCATATTGCTAGTTAACTAGTATAATGTAGGGTCCATATTGCTAGTTAATGTAGGGTCCATATTGCTAGTTAACTAGTATAATGTCGGGTCCATATTGCTAGTTAACTAGTATAATGTCGGGTCCATATTGCTAGTTAACTAGTATAATGTAGGGTCCATATTGCTAGTTAACTAGTATAATGTAGGGTCCATATTGCTAGTTAACTAGTATAATGTAGGGTCCATATTGCTAGTTAACTAGTATAATGTAGGGTCCATATTGCTAGTTAACTAGTATAATGTAGGGTCCATATTGCTAGTTAACTAGTATAATGTAGGGTCCATATTGCTAGTTAACTAGTATAATGTAGGGTCCATATTGCTAGTTAACTAGTATAATGTAGGGTCCATATTGCTAGTTAACTAGTATAATGTAGGGTCCATATTGCTAGTTAACTAGTATAATGTAGGGTCCATATTGCTAGTTAACTAGTATAATGTAGGGTCCATATTGCTAGTTAACTAGTATAATGTAGGGTCCATATTGCTAGTTAACTAGTGTAATACTGCTAAGCAGGAAATGCAAACTTGTAATGTATTCGAGGTTTAAAAAGGCTTCTTAAGTTTGTCATTTCCAATTTTAAAATGTAGACTTGATTTGGCCTAACTAAAAATGTATCAACCCCTACAGAAATTTACATTAATTATAATCCACACAAAAATTCACATTTCCAGTTGCTGCAGGATTATTTTCCTGCTGTGAGAAACTGGTAAAAACGACATACAGAGATGCAGTAAAGAGGTCAATGGAACTGGACCAAAACAATGGAATTGCCATGGAAATGCGTGGGTGAATTGCCATGGAAACGCTGTGAGGTAAAGATCCCAAGTCTCCTCGTTGCCCCCCAGACAAATATGTCTATTTTTAGGTTATTGTTTATGTGTGTATTTCACACTATGTTGAGGTAAAAATCAGAGTATAATGCTTGTATGGACGTAAACCCCTAAACATGTTCATGTTCATGTGGTCCTCTGTAGCTCAACTGGTAGAGCACGGCGCTTGTAACGCCAAGGTAGTGGGTTCAATCCCCGGGACCACCCATACACAAAAATGTATGCACGCATGACTGTAAGTCGCTTTGGATAAAAGCGTCTGCTAAATGGCATATTATTATTATTATTATATGTCATCGTCACGAATCAACTGCATTTCAGTTAAAAACTACCACCACCGATTTCTGTATGCTAGCTATGCTACCAGTTTATACGAAAAGGAGTTAGCATTTAGCAGCCACTTCTTCTAAACCTGAAAAGGTACAACTTCTACATGTTATGCAGCGAAAACAGCCAAATATATCCACATCGGACTTAAGTGACCATGTTGTGGGCCCTGTTACTAACATCAATAGTGACGGATTTGAGGGAAATCCCCTTAGATCAGATTTGTTGAATGTGCACCAATCTGCATCGATGTAGCAGGATGTAGGATCCATTCTATACGTACTTGATGAGTTCCTTCTCGCGGACCTCCAGCTGCAGCATGATGGCACTCAGCTCCATGTAGAGGTTGTTAGCTCTCTCCAGCTTCCTCTCATAGTGCTCCCTGATGTCCAGGGCATGTCTGGAGGGAGAGACAGAACGCTCACAACACATATCTATCTATCTATCTATCTATCTATCTATCTATCTATCTATCTATCTATCTATCTATCTATCTATCTATCTATCTATCTATCTATCTATCTATCTATCTATCTATCTATCTATCTATCTATCTATCTACAGTGCCTTCGGAAAGTATTCAGACCGCTTGACTTTTTCCAAATGTTGTTACATTACAGCCTTATTCTAAAATAGATTAAAAGTAAATACCTCCTCAGCAATCTACACACAATACCCCATTATGACAAAGTGAAAACAGGTTTAAATAAAAAACAGAAATACCTTTTTTACATAAGTAATCAGACCCTTTGCTAAGACTCGAAATTGAGCTCAGGTGCATCCTGTTTCCATTGATCATCCTTGAGATGTTTCTACAACTTGATTGGAGTCCACCTGTGGTAAATTCAATTGATTGGACATGATTTGGAAAGGCACACACCCATTTATAAAAAGTCCCACAGTTGACAGTGCATGTCAGAGCAAAAACCAAGCCATGAGATTGAAGGAATTGTCCGTAGAGCTCCGAGACAGGATTGTGTCGAGGCACAGATCTGGGGAAGGGTTCCAAATCATTTTTTGCAGCATTGAAGATCCCCAAGAACACAGTGGCCTCCATCATTCTTAAATGGAAGAAGTTTGGAACCACCAAGACTCTTCCTAGAGCTGGCCGCCCGGCCAAACTGAGTAATCGGGGGAGAAGGGCCTTGGTCAGGGAGGTGACCAAGAACCTGATGGTCACTCTGACAGAGCTCTAGAGTTCCTCTGTGGAGATGGGAGAACCTTCCAGAAGGACAACCATCTCTGCAGCTCCACCAATCAGGCCTTTATTGTAGAGTGGCCAGACGGAAGCCACTCCTCAGTAAAAGGCACATGACGGCCTTCTTGGAGTTTGCCAAAAGGCACCTAAAGAATCTCAGACCATGAGAAACAAGATTCTCTGGTCTGATGAAACCAAGATTGAACTCTTTGGCCTGAATGCAAGCGAATGCCAAGTGTCACGTCTGGAGGAAACCTGGCACCATCCCTACGGTGAAGCATGGTGGTGGCAGCATCATGCTGTGGGGACGTTTTTCAGCGGCAGGGACTGGGAGACTAGTCATGATCGAGGCAAAGATGAACGGAGCAAAGTACAGAGAGATCCTTGATGAAAACCTGCTCCAGAGCGCTCAGGACCTCAGACAGGGGCAAAGGTTCACCTTCCAACAGGACAACGAACCTAAGCACACAGCCAAGACAACGCAGGAGTGGATTTGGGACAAGTCTCTGAATGCCCTTGAGTGGCCAATCCAGAGCCCGGACTTGAACCCGATCGAACATCTCTGGAGAGACCTGAAAATAGCTGTGCAGCAACGCTCCCCATCCAACCTGACAGAGCTTGAGAGGATCTGCAGAGAAGAATGGGAGAAACTCCCCAAATACAGGTGTGCCAAGCTTGTAGCGTCATACCCAAGAAGACCCAAGGCTGTAATCGCTGCCAAAGGTGCTTCAACAAAGTACTGAGTAAACGGTCTGAATACTTCTGTAAATGTGATTTTTCCGTTATTTATTTTTAAAACTCTAAAAACCTGTTTTCGATTAGTCATTATGGGGTATTAGTTATTTATATATATATATATATATTAATTTATTAATTAGATTATGGGGTATTGTATGTAGATTGATGATAGCAGTATAGTGGTCCAGTATTTCAGTAAATCCAGTTCATTTCAGTGGTAATAATAATAATAGTACATATAATCATGTATACAGGTACAACACTACTGCTGTTGTTTTGTGGAATCTTCAGGCGATACATTTAATGAAATAAAAATAAAATTATAAAAAGAAAGAATGTCTAATAAATAAACAACAAAATGTCCATGGATGATGGTTCCACTCTGTATTACTGATGGTTCCACTCTGTATTACTGATGGTTCCACTCTGTATACTGATGGTTTCCTCTCTGTATTACTGATGGTTCCACTCTGTATTACTGATGGTTCCACTCTGTATTACTGATGGTTCCACTCTGTATTACTGATGGTTCCACTCTGTATTACTGATGGTTCCACTCTGTATTACTGATGGTTCCACTCTGTATTACTGATGGTTCCACTCTGTATTACTGATGGTTCCACTCTGTATTACTGATGGTTCCACTCTGATTACTGTGGTTCACTCTGTATACTGATGGTCCAACTCTGTTACGATGTCCCTTGTTTACTGATGGTTCCTCTGTATTACTGATGGTTCCACTCTGTATCGATGGCCTTGTATACTGAGGTTCCACTCTGTATTACTGATGGTTCCACTCTGTATTACTGATGGTTCCACTCTGTTTACTGATGGTTCCACTCTGTATACTGATGGTCCCTGTATTCTGATGTTCCACTCGTTTAACTGATGGTTCCCTCTGTATTATGATGGTTCCACTCTGTATTATGATGGTTCACTCTGTATTAACTGATGGTTCCACTCTGTATTATGATGGTTCCACTCTGTATTACTGATGGTTCCACTCTGTATTACTGATGGTTCCACTGATACGATGGTTCTCATCTGTATACTGATGGTCCACTCTGTATTACTGAGTTCCACTCGTATTACGATGGTTCCACTCTGTATTACTGATGTTCCATCTGTATTATGAATGGTTCAACTCTGTATTACTGATGGTTCCACTCTGTATTATGATGGTTCATCTGTATACTGATGGTCCACTATTATACTGATGGTTCCACTTGTATTACTGATGTTCCACTCTGTATTACTGATGGTTCACTCTGTATTATGATGGTTCACTTGTATTACGATGGTTCCACTTGTATTACTGATGGTTCCACTCTGTATTACTGATGGTTCCACTCTGTATTACTGATGGTTCCACTCTGTATACTGATGGTTCCACTCTGTATTACTGATGGTTCCTCTCTGTATTACTGATGGTTCACTCTGTATTAACTGATGGTTTCCACTCTGTATTACTGATGGTTCCACTCTGTATTACTGATGGTTCCACTCTGTATTACTGATGGTTCCACTCTGTATTACTGATGGTTCCACTCTGTATTACTGATGGTTCCACTCTGTATTACTGATGGTTCCACTCTGTATTACTGATGGTTCCTCTCTGTATTACTGATGGTTCCACTCTGTATTACTGATGGTTCCACTCTGTATTACTGATGGTTCCCTCTGTATTACTGATGGTTCCACTCTGTATTACTGATGGTTTCCACTCTGTATTACTGATGGTTCCTCTCTGTATTACTGATGGTTCCCACTCTGTATACTGATGGTTCCACTCTGTATTACTGATGGTTCCACTCTGTATTACTGATGGTTCCACTCTGTATTACTGATGGTTCCACTCTGTATTACTGATGGTTCCACTCTGTATTACTGATGGTTCCTCTCTGTATTACTGATGGTTCCACTCTGTATTACTGATGGTTCCACTCTGTATTACTGATGGTTCCACTCTGTATTACTGATGGTTCCACTCTGTATTACTGATGGTTCCACTCTGTATTACTGATGGGTTCCACTCTGTATTACTGATGGTTCCACTCTGTAATTACTGATGGTTCCTCTCTGTATTACTGATGGTTCCACTCTGTATTACTGATGGTTCCACTCTGTATTACTGATGGTTCCACTCTGTATTACTGATGGTTCCACTCTGTATTACTGATGGTTCCACTCTGTATTACTGATGGTTCCACTCTGTATTACTGATGGTTCCTCTCTGGTATTACTGATGGTTCCACTCTGTATTACTGATGGTTCCACTCTGTATTACTGATGGTTTCCACTCTGTATTACTGATGGTTCCCACTCTGTATTACTGATGGTTCCACTCTGTATTACTGATGGTTCCACTCTGTATTACTGATGGTTCCACCTGATTACTGATGGTTTCCTCTCTGTATTACTGATGGGTTCCACTCTGTATTACTGATGGTTCCACTCTGTATTACTGATGGGTTCCACTCTGTATTACTGATGGTTCCACTCTGTATTACTGATGGTTCCACTCTGTATTACTGATGGTTCCACTCTGTATTACTGATGGTTCCACTCTGTATTACTGATGGTTTCCACTCTGTATTACTGATGGTTCCACTCTGTATTACTGATGGTTCCACTCTGTATTACTGATGGTTCCACTCTGTATTACTGATGGTTCCACTCGTATTACTGATGGTTTCCCTCTGTATTACTGATGGTTCCACTCTGTATTACGATGGTTCCACTCTGTATTACTGATGGTTCCACTCTGTATTACTGATGGTTCCACTCTGTATTACTGATGGTTCCACTCTGTATTACTGATGGTTCCACTCTGATTACTGATGGTTCCACCTGTATTACTGATGGTTCCCTCTGTATTACTGATGGTTCCACTCTGTATTACTGATGTTCCACTCTGTATTACTGATGGGTTCCACTCTGTATTACTGATGGTTCCACTCTGTATTACTGATGGTTTCCACTCTGTATTACTGATGTTTCCCTCTGTATTACTGATGGGTTCCACTCTTGTATTACTGATGGTTCCACTCTGTATTACTGATGGTTCCTCTCTGTATTACTGATGGTTCCACTCTGTATTACTGATGGTTCCACTCTGTATTACTGATGGTTCCACTCTGTATTACTGATGGTTCCACTCTGTATTACTGATGGTTCCACTCTGTATTACTGATGGTTCCACTCTGTATTACTGATGGTTCCACTCTGTATTACTGATGGTTCCACTCTTGTATTACTGATGGTTCCACTCTGTATTACTGATGGTTCCACTCTGTATTACTGATGGTTCCACTCTGTATTACTGATGGTTCCACTCTGTATTACTGATGGTTCCACTCTGTATTACTGATGGTTCCACTCTGTATTACTGATGGTTCCACTCTGTATTACTGATGGTTCCACTCTGTATTACTGATGGTTTCCACTCTGTATTACTGATGGTTCCACTCTGTATTACTGATGGTTCCACTCTGTATTACTGCTTATGATGTCACTCTGTATTACTGATGGTTCCACTCTGTATTACTGATGGTTCCACTCTGTATTACTGATGGTTCCACTCTGTATTACTGATGGTTTCCACTCTGTATTACTGATGGTTCCACTCTGTATACTGATGGTTCCACTCTGTATTACTGATGGTTCCACTCTGTATTACTGATGGTTCCACTCTGTATTACTGATGGTTCCACTCTGTATTACTGATGGTTCCCACTCTGTATTACTGATGGTTCCACTCTGTATTACTGATGGTTCCTCTCTGTATTACTGATGGTTCCACTCTGTATTACTGATGGTTCCACTCTGTATTACTGATGGTTCCACTCTGTATTACTGATGGTTCCACTCTGTATTACTGATGGTTCCACTCTGTATTACTGATGGTTCCACTCTGTATTACTGATGGTTCCACTCTGTATTACTGATGGTTCCACTCTGTATTACTGATGGTTCCCTCTGTATTACTGATGGTTCCACTCTGTATTACTGATGGTTCCACTCTGTATTACTGATGGTTCCTCTCTGTATTACTGATGGTTCCTCTCTGTATTACTGATGGTTCCACTCTGTATTACTGATGGTTCCACTCTGTATTACTGATGGTTCCACTCTGTATTACTGATGGTTCCACTCTGTATTACTGATGGTTCCACTCTGTATTACTGATGGTTCCACTCTGTATTACTGATGGTTCCACTCTGTATTACTGATGGTTCCACTCTGTATTACTGATGGTTCCACTCTGTATTACTGATGGTTCCACTCTGATTACTGATGGTTCCACTCTGTATTACTGATGGTTCCACTCTGTATTACTGATGGTTCCACTCTGTATTACTGATGGTTCCACTCTGTATTACTGATGGTTCCACTCTGTATTACTGATGGTTCCACTCTGTATTACTGATGGTTCCACTCTGTATTACTGATGGTTCCACTCTGTATTACTGATGGTTCCACTCTGTATTACTGATGGTTCCCTCTGTATTACTGATGGTTCCCTCTGTATTACTGATGGTTCCACTCTGTATTACTGATGGTTCCACTCTGTATTACTGATGGTTCCACTCTGTATTACTGATGGTTCCTCTCTGTATTACTGATGGTTCCACTCTGTATTACTGATGGTTCCACTCTGTATTACTGTCAGCTATATACAATGGAAATACTTCAGGGAATTAATGGTCATGGGACGTCCCTCAGGCTACGGCAATCAGATACATATCTGGCAGTAATATTTGAAGTTTCTCCCTCACCCATAATAATCCCCAGCTTGATGTTATTAGTAAATGCACAGAAGTTGGGAATTGATCGAGATATTTTATTGAAATAATATGATCTTCTTTGGGAGTATTTCTCCCAGTTTATCTCTGTCTCTACCTCCCCTGTCGTTCAGTGACCACAGACGCTCCTCTTTGGGTAGCCATGTCTTTATGGGTCTCCTCTTTTCCACAGCCAGTTGGTGGCTGAGCCTGTATTTAGTCAGGATCTGTCTCTGTTTTATATCTCTGACAGAGTAGAGATTTTCTGACCATTTGTGTTCTCTTTTGAGGTCAAATAGATTTTTTTTTAATTCTGTGTTTTTGTTTCATTTTCCCAATTTGTCAAATAGGAGGTTTTCATTTCTGTAACAGTTTGATTGTGTTTAGATAATAGGGTTGATTAGTGTTTGCAACAGCTGACAGAGGGGACTCGTTTCAGGGTTCAGCTCTTGGGTTTCCAGTGCTTTGAATTGTAAGGATGTTTTGAGGTTTAATTTCATATGTGTACAAAAGTAACTGCCTTCTTAATTACAATGAAAAGGTATTCTAGAGTTTCAGCTCTCTCTAGAATTCATAGCGTCTCTCTCTCTCTCGCTACTCTCTCCTCTGCTCATCTCGTCCTCCTCGATGCTCTCTGCATGCTCTCAGTAACTCCATCTCAGCGAGTCACTGGACTCTACTACTCTCGCCTTCTCTCTCTCTCTCTCCTCTCTTCTCATCTTCTCTCTCTCTCTCTCTCTCATCTCTCTCTCATCTCTCTCTCTCTCTCTCTCTCTCTCTCTCTCTCTCTCTCTCTCTCTCTCTCACCTGGTCATCCGCTGCGTTTTATCACGTCTCTCGTGGCTGTGTGCAGGTCTCTCTAGCTTTATCTTCTCAAGTGTTTCTCACTCTCCTCACTCAGACTGACACAGTGGGAACAGGACACACATGGTTACATATCAGTACTCTACAGGGTGGCTATAGCTTAGAATGGTCTATAATGACATGTATGCTAGGGGCTGTAACCTAGAATGGTCTATAATGACATGTATGCTAGGGGCTGTAACCTAGAATGGTCTATAATGACATGTATGCTAGGGGCTGTAACCTAGAATGGTCTATAATGACATGTATGCTAGGAACTGTAACCTAGAATGGTCTATAATGACATGTATGCTAGGGGCTGTAACATAGAATGGTTCTGGAGTCTAGAATGGTTGTGTTCTCACCTGAGACTTGAAGTAGGTCTCCTGAGGAGCTCCCAGGATGTCAGCTGAGGCAATGTCCAGATGGAGCAGGATCTGACGGAATGATGGACGGTTCCTGGGCTTCCCTTGCCTGGAGAAGAGGAGAAACAGCAAGGAGAGAGGGAGGAGAAGAAGAGAGTGTAATGGAGACAAACCAAAAAGAGGAAGGAGAGGGAGAGAGTGAAAAGGGAGGAGAGATTACATGAATCCATGTGATTATACAGGCAGATATTACCTAGAATATTTGCAGGGCGTGTGATATATATTCCTCTTTAATAATCTAAGATCTGCATATCTCACCATGTTTGCTTCATGAGGATCTTGAACCCGTCGGGACAAGTGGAGGGAACAGGGAGGTGGAGGCTGTTGCTACCCACACCCCAGATGATGGCTGAGGAGTCTACGTCTTTATAGGGGATTTCTCCAGTCAGCAGCTCCCATAACACCACGCCAAACGACCTGCCAACCAGAGGGTTAACATATTATAACACCAAACCAAACGACCTGCCAACCAGAGGGTTAACATATTATAACACCCACGCCAAACGACCTGCAACCAGAGGGTTAACATATTATAACCACCACGCCAAACGGACCTGCCAACCAGAGGGTTAACATATTATAACACCAAACCCAAACGACCTGCCAACCAGAGGGTTAACATATTATACACCACGCCAAACGACCTGCCAAACCCATAAGGGTTAACATATTATAACACCACGCCCAAACGACCTGTCCAATCCAGAGGGTTAACAATTTACAACCACGCAACGACCTGCCAACCAGAGGGTTAACATATTATAACACCAAACCAAACGACTGCCAACCAGAGGGTTAACATATTTAACACCACGCCAAACGACCTGCCAACCAGAGGGTAACATTATACACACCACGCCAAACGACCTGCCAACCAGAGGGTTAACATATTATAACACCACGCCAAAAACTGCCAACCAGAGGGTTAACATATTATAACACCAGCCAAACGACCTGCCAAGCAAGGGTTAACAATTTATAAACACCACGCCAAACGACCTGCCAACCAGAGGGTTAACATATTATAACACCACGCCAAACACGACACTGCCAACCACAGAGGGTTAACATATTATAACACCACGCCAAACGACCTGCCAACCAGAGGGTTAACATATTATAACACCACGCAAACGACCTGCCAACCAGAGGGTTAACATATTTAACACCACGCCAAACGACCTGCCAACCAGAGGGTTAACATATTATAACACCACGCCAAACGACCTGCCAACCAGAGGGTTAACATATTATAACACCACGCCAAACGACCTGCCAACCAGAGGGTTAACATATTATAACACCAAACCAAACGACCTGCCAACCAGAGGGTTAACATATTATAACACCACGCCAAACGACCTGCCAACCAGAGGGTTAACATATTATAACACCACGCCAAACGACCTGCAACCACACAGAGGGTAACATATTATAACACCACCCAAACGACCTGCCAACCAGAGGGTTAACATATTATAACACCACGCCAAACGACCTGCCAACCAGAGGGTTAACATATTATAACACACGCCAAACGGACCTGCCAACCAGAGGGTTAACATTTATAACACCACGCCAAACGACCTGCAACCAGAGGGTTAACATATTATAACACCACGCCAAACGACCTGCCAACCAGAGGGTTAACATATTATAACACCAAACCAAACGACCTGCCAACCAACCAGAGGGTTAACATATTATAACACCAAACCAAACGACCTGCCAACCAGAGGGTTAACATATTATAACACCAAACCAAACGACCTGCCAACCAGAAGGGTTAACATATTATAACCACCACGCCAAACGACCCTGCCAAGCAGAGGGTTAAACATATTATACACACCACGCCAAACGACCTGCCAACCACACAGAGGGTTAACATATTATAACACCACGCCAAACGACCTGCCAACCAGAGGGTTAACATATTATAACACCACGCCAAACGACCTGCCAACCACAGAGGGTTAACATATTATAACACCACGCAAACGACCTGCCAACCAGAGGGTTAACATATTATAACACCCACGCCAAACGACCTGCCAACCAGAGGGTTAACATATTATAACACCACGCCAAACGACCTGCCAACCAGAGGGTTAACATATTATAACACCACGCCAAACGACCTGCCAACCAGAGGGTTAACATATTATAACACCACGCCAAACGACCTGCCAACCAGAGGGTTAACATATTATAACACCAAACCAAACGACCTGCCAACCAGAGGGTTAACATATATAACACCACGCCAAACGACCTGCCAACCAGAGGGTTACATATTATAACACCACGCCAAGACCTGCCAACCAGAGGGTTAAACATATTATAACACCCACGCCAAACGACCCTGCCAACCAGAGGTTAACATATTATAAACACCACGCCAAACGACCTGCCAAGGCAAAGGGTTAAACATATTATAACAACCACGCCAAACGGACCTGCCAACCAGAGGGTTAACATATTATAACACCACGCCAAACGACCCCTGCCAACCAGAGGGTTAACATATTATAACACCACGCCAAACGACCTGCCAAACCACACAGGGGTTAACATATTATAACACCACGCCAAAACGACCTGCCAACCAGAGGGTTAACTATTATAACACCACGCCAAACGAACCTGCCAACCAGAGGGTTAACATATTATAACACCAAACCAAACGACCTGCCAACCAGAGGGTTACATATTTATAACACCACGCAAAACGGACCTGCCAACCACAGAGGGTTAACATATTATAACACCACGCCAAACGGACCTGCCAACCAGAGGGTTAACATATTATAACACCAAACCAAACGACCTGCCAACCAGAGGGTTAACATATTATAACACCACGCCAAACGACCTGCCAACCACACAGAGGGTTAACATATTATAACACCACGCCAAACGACCTGCCAACCAGAGGGTTAACATATTATAACACCACGCCAAACGACCTGCCAACCAGAGGGTTAACATATTATAACACCAAACCAAACGACCTGCCAACCAGAGGGTTAACATATTATAACACCACGCCAAACGACCTGCCAACCACAGAGGGTTAACATATTATAACACCACGCCAAACGACCTGCCAACCAGAGGGTTAACATATTATAACACCACGCCAAACGACCTGCCAACCAGAGGGTTAACATATATAAACACCACGCCAAACGAACCCTGCCACCCAGAGGGTTAACATATTATAACACCACGCCAAACGACCTGCCAACCAGAGGGTTAACATATTATAACACCACGCCAAACGACCTGCCAACCAGAGGGTTAACATATTATAACACCAAACCAAACGACCTGCCAACCAGAGGGTTAACATATTATAACACCACGCCCAAACGACCTGCCAACCCAGAGGGTTAACATATTATAACACCACGCCAAACGACCTGCCAACCAGAGGGTTAACATATTATAACACCACGCCAAAACGACCTGCCAACCACAGCGGGTTTAACATATTATAACACCAAACCAAACGACCCTGCCAAACCAGAGGGTTAACATATTATAACACCAAAACCAAACGACCTGCCAACCAGAGGGTTAACTATTATAACACCAAACCAAACGACCTGCCAACCAGAGGGTTAACATATTATAACACCACGCCAAACGACCTGCCAACCAGAGGGTTAACATATTATAACACCACGCCAAACGACCTGCCAACCACAGAGGGTTAACATATTATAACACCAAACCAAACGACCTGCCAACCAGAGGGTTAACATATTATAACACCAAACCAAACACTGTGCTATACTAACTTCCTCCCAACATAACCCTACAGTGCATACGGAAAGTATTCAGATCCCTTGACTTCAGATCCCTTGACTTTTTCCATATTTTGTTAAGTTATTCTAAAATTGATTAAATTGTTTGACAAGTAAAAACAGGTTTTTAGAAATGTTTGCAAATGTGTTACAAATAAAAAAAACTGAAAAATGACAGACCCTTTACTCAGTATTTTGTTAAAGCACCTTTGGCAGTGATTACAGCCTCGAGTCTTCTTGGGTATGACGCTACAAGCTTGGCACACCTGTATTTGGGGAGTTTCTCCCATTCTTCTCTGCAGATCCTCTCAAGCTCTGTCAGGTTGGATGGGGAGTGTCGCTGCACAGCTATTTTCAGGTCTCTCCAGAGATGTTCGATCAGGTTCAAGTCCGGGCTCTGGCTGGGCCACTCAAGGACATTCAGAGACTTGTCCCGAAGCCACTTATCTTGGCTGTGTGCTTAGGGTCGTTGTCCTGTCGGAAGGTGAACCTTTGCCCCAGTCTGAGGTCCTCTGGAGCAGTGCTCTGGAGCAGGTTTTCATCAAGGATCTCTCTGTACTTTGCTCCATTCATCTTTCCCTCGATCCTGACTTCTGGAAGGTTCTCCCATCTCCACAGAGGAACTCTGGAGCTCTGTCAGAGTGACCATCGGGTTCTTGGTCACCTCCCTGACCAAGACCCTTCTCCCCCGATTACTCAGTTTGGCCATGCGGCCAGCTCTAGGAAGAGCTCTTGGTGGTTCCAAACTTCTTCCATTTAAGAATGATGGAGGCCACTGTGTTCTTGGGGACCTCCAATGCTGCAGAAATGTTTTGGTACCCTTCCCCAGTTCTGTGCCTCGACACAATCCTGTCTCAGAGCTCTACGGACAATTCCTTCGACCTCATGGCTTGGTTTTTGCTCTGACATGCACTGTCAACTGTGGGACCTTATATAGACAGGTGTGTGCCTTTCCAAATCATGTCCAATCAATTGAATTTACCACAGGTGGACTCCAATCAAGTTATAGAAACATCTCAAGGATGATCAGTGGAAACAGGATGAACCTGAGCTAAATTTTGAGCCTCATAGCAAAGGGTCTGAATACTTTTGTAAATAAGGTATTTCAGTTTTTTTTTATTTTTTATAAATGTGCAAAAGTTTGGAAAATGAGAATATACCCCTATACTGTGGGTCAACTGATACAACAATATGATGCCAAGTTATCCATTCAAGTTCTGCTTCTTCTTAAATCTCATTATTATGAGTTTGTTCGGGTTCGGGTTCAGCTTATTGTTGTCCAAAGAGGTGGAATGGGTTCACACTCATAAAGCTTATAAATAATAATAATAATAATCATCATAAACTTCGTTATTATTCGTCTTTAATGTTTTCACTGCATCAGCGTATGCAGACGTTTCGGCTTTACAGTCTTCTTCAGTGTGTTGGTGCCATTTTCAGATAATATAATAACATGCCATTTATCAGACGCTTTTATCCAAAGCGACTTACAGTCGTGCGTGCATACATTTTTGTGTATGGGTGGTCCCGGGGATCGAACCCACTACCTTGGCGTTACAAGCACCGTGCTCTACCAGCGGAGCTACAGAGGACCAAGCGCCGTGCTCTACCAGCGGAGCTACAGAGGACCAAGCGCCGTGCTCTACCAGCTGAGCTACAGAGGACCAAGCACCGTGCTCTACCAGCTGAGCTACAGAGGACCAAGCGCCGTGCTCTACCAGCTGAGCTACAGCAGGTCCTACTAATCGCGGTTGCCACTCATCTGCCAATTAGTCAAAAAGAGATACAGAATTATAGGGTATTGGATTTTCTAATGAAACTACAAAGTATACCAGTTATTAGTGAAGGAGATTGGTTAGTTACTCTTGATGTCTCATCGCTGAATGACGGAGGTACGGAGGCCCTCAAGTTCTTCCTCTCCAACCGCTTAAGCGCTGTCTACAAATTATATAATTGAACTAGTGCTTACTAAAAAATTATTTTTTATTTGATAAATATTACTATCTACAGACTTTTGGAACAGCAATGGGAAGTCCATTAGCTCACAACTATGCACATCTCTTTATGGGGAAATTCGAATAGGATTTTATTTATACTTTTTATTCGTGGTCCTCTGTAGCTCAGCTGGTAGAGCACGGCGCTTGGTCCTCTGGAGCTCAGCTGGTAGAGCACGGCGCTTGGTCCTCTGGAGCTCAGCTGGTAGAGCACGGTGCTTGGTCCTCTGGAGCTCAGCTGGTAGAGCACGGTGCTTGGTCCTCTGTAGCTCAGCTGGTAGAGCACGGCGCTTGGTCCTCTGTAGCTCAGCTGGTAGAGCACGGCGCTTGGTCCTCTGTAGCTCAGCTGGTAGAGCACGGCGCTTGGAACGCCAAGGTAGTGGGTTCGATCCCCGGGACCACCCATACACAAAAATTTATGCACGCATGACTGTAAGTCGCTTTGGATAAAAGCCTCTGCTAAATGGCATATTATTATTATTATAAGATAATCCTTACAACGATCATGTTAAATACTGGACCCGCTATATAAACGATTGCTTTATGATCTGGACGGGTTCCGAAATTAAATTAAATGAATTTCTTAACAACATTAACTCTAGAGTACAATCAATTTCCTTCACTATGGAAAATAACATTAACTCTATACATTTCTTAGATGTACTTACAAAGGGACAATCTCTAAGTATTACAGTTTACAGAAAACCTACAGATAAAAATACTATATTGACAGCTGATAGTTATCACCCTCTCCCCCTACCAGTCAGCCAACTTCATAGACTGCGTCTCATCTGTGACACAGAGGAAAAATATGATAGACAATCAAACTCTCTCCTTGAGTGTTTCTGCTGTAGAGGAAACCCTGATACCTGGCTTGATAAAGCTATAGAGGATACCCTGATACCTGGCTTGATGAAGCTGTAGAGGATACCCTGATACCTGGCTTGATAAAGCTATAGAGGATACCCCGATACCTGGCTTGATGAAGCTGTAGAGGATACCCTGATACCTGGCTTGATGAAGCTGTAGAGGATACCCTGATACCTGGCTTGATGAAGCTGTAGAGGATACCCTGATACCTGGCTTAATAAAGCTATAGAGGATACCCTGATAAAGCTGTAGAGGATACCCTGATACCTGGCTTGATAAAGCTATAGAGGATACCCTGATAAAGCTGTAGAGGATACCCTGATACCTGGCTTGATAAAGCTAACCCCTGTAGATCATGTACCTCATTAACCCCTGTAGATCATGTACCACATTAACCCCTGTAGATCATGTACCACATTAAGGAAATGTTGTAACTTAGTATGACCTCTGACTTCTAGGTCCAATGAGATAAAGTCATGTATTACATTTTACATTTCAGTCATTTAGCAGATGCTCTTATCCAGAGCGACTTACAGTTAGCGAGTGCATACATTTTTTATTTATGTTTCATACTGGCCCCCCGTGGGAAACGAACCCACAACCCTGCGTTGCAAACGCCATGCTCTACCAACTGAGCTACAGGGGACCTGTATAACTTGCACTTCTAAAGGAGTAATGTACAGTACCAGTCAAAAGTTTTATATTTTATATTTGAGATTCTTCAAATAGCCACCTTTTGCCTTGATGACAGCTTTGCACACTCTTGGCATTCTCTCAACCAGCGTCACCTGGAATGCTTTTCCAACAGTCTTGAAGGAGTTCCCACATATGCTGAGCACTTGTTGGCTGCTTTTCCTTCACTCTGCGGTCCGACTCATCCCAAACCATCTCAATTGGGTTGAGGTCGGGGGATTGTGGAGGCCAGGTCATCTGATGCAGCACTCCATCACTCTCCTTCTTGGTAAAATAGCCCTTACACAGCCTGGAGGTGTGTTGGGTCATTGTCCTGTTGAAAAACAAATCATAGTCCCACTAAGCCCAAACCAAATGGGATGACGTATCGCTTCAGAATGCTGTGGTAGCCATGCTGGTAAAGTGTGCCTTGAATTTTAAATAAATCACAGTGTCACCAGCATAGCACCCCCACACCATAACACCTCCTCCTCCATGCTTTACGGTGGGAGCTACACATGCGGAGATCATCCGTTCATCCACACCGCGTCTCACAAAGACACGGCGGTTGGAACCAAAAACCTCAAATTTGGACTCCAGACCAAAGGACACATTTCCACCGGTCTAATGTCCATTGCTCGTGTTTCTTGGCCCAAGCAGGTCTCTTAGATTTTACATTTACGTCATTTAGCAGACGCTCTTATCCAGAGCCACTTACAAATTGGTGCATTCAACTTATGATAGCCAGTGGGACAACCACCTTTTTTTAAAACATTTTTTTATGGGGGGTGGGGGAAGAAGGATTACTTTATACTATTCCAGGTATTCCTTAAAGAGGTGGGGTTTCAAGTGTCCCAGGAAGGTGGTCAGTGACTCCGCTGTCCTGGCGTTATTGGTGTCCTTTAGTAGTGGTTTCTTTGCAGCAATTCGACCATGAAGGCCTGATTCATACAGTCCCCTCAAAACAGTTGCTGATGAGATGTGTCTGTGACTTGAACTCTGTGAAGCATTTATTTGGGCTGCAATTTCTGAGGCTGATAACTCTAATGAACTTATCCTCTGCAGCAGAGGTAACTCTGGGTCTTCCATTCCTGTGGCGGTCCTCATGAGAGCCAGTTTCATCATAGCGCTTGATGGTTTTTGCGACTGCACTTGAAGAAACGTTCAAAGTTCTTTACATTTTCCGGATTGACTGACCTTCATGTCTTAAAGTAATGATGGACTGTCGTTTCTCTTTGCTTATTTGAGCTGTTCTTGCCATAATATGGACTTGGTCTTTTACCAAATAGGGCTATCTTCTGTATACCACCCCTACCTTGTCACAACACAACTGATAGGCTCAAACGCATTAAAGAAGGAAAGAAATTCCACAAATTAACTTTTAAGAAGGCACACCTGTTAATTGAAATGCATTCCAGGTGACTACCTCATGAAGCTGGTTGAGAGAATGCCAAGCGTGTGCAAAGCTGTCATCAAGGCAAAGGGTGGTTATTTGAAGAATCTCAAATATATTTTGATTTGTTTTACACTTTTTTGGTTACTACATGATTCTATATGTGTTATTTCATAGTGTTGATGTCTTCACTATTATTCTACAATGTAGAAAATAGTACAAAATAAAGAAAAACCCTTGAATGAGGAGGTATGTCCAAACGTTTGACTGGTACTGTATATGTTACAGTGTTCTTGTAATAATATTTATATTGGCAAAACATCCTTGAAAGTACGTCTTGGAGAACGTAAACCCACTATTAGACTTCAAGATATCACCTCTGCCAGTTGCGAGACACTTTATTGAACAAAATCATTCTATTAATGAATTGCGTTGCGTCGGCAAAAAGTGTATCCACCCCGTAGAGGAGGGGACTATGACAACAAACGACTCCATAGAGAAGCCATGTGGATATATACATTAAATTCAGTATCTCCACACGGTTTAAACAAATCATTGGATTTCACCTCCTTCCTACAGTATAAGCCACATTTAGACTGTTATAAAAGAACACTGTCCATATCAGATTTTGCATATGTTTTATGAGTTGGCCCCACATATTTATGAACGGCTTTGCCTGATGTCCTTTGTGGTGGGCTATCTCATGAATTTATATGTATTTAGGTGAGTTGCCCTTCGTGCCCGCCCCCATACCCTATAATTCTTTATCTCTTTGTGACTCATTTGTATACAGGTAGCCACATCCCCTGATTGGCCGATGAGTGGCAACCCTGATTTAGAATCACCTGCTGCTTATTGGTTGTTCTTTACAAACGCTGTTTTGAATTAAAGTAAATGGTACCAACACACTGAAGAAGGCTGTAACGCCGAAACGTCTGCGATGATATCTGATATCTGATATCTGTGATACAACGTCTGCGATGATATCTGATATCTGATATCTGTGATGCAACGTCTGTGATGATATCTGATATCTGATATCTGTGATGCAACACGTCTGTGATGATATCTGATATCTGTGATGCAACATGTTTGAGTGAGAACCTCTTTGTTTGGCTGGTTTGGTTTTTACCAGGCTTCTGGGAGAGAGATGGTTAGACATGGTTTTCTTTTCAGTACTTATTGTTGTACTCACCAGATGTCTACTTTCTCAGACACCGGTTCGTTCCTGATGACCTCTGGGGCCATCCAGGCCACCGTACCAGCGAACGACATCTGAGTGCTCTTATCACTGAGCTCCTTGGATGTCCCGAAGTCACTGATCTTCACTGTGTCTTGTTGGGTCACCAGCACACTGAGGGAGAAGGGGAGCAGAGTGACATCCAGAGCATATACAGTAGGACCTCAATGGACAAAACACAACGTGAAGGACCTCAATGGACAAAACACAACGTGAAGGACCTCAATGGACAAAACACAACGTGAAGGACCTCAATGGACAAAACACAACGTGAATTTGAGGAATTACAAATATGTGGGCAATAACCTATAACCAATAACCAATAACCTATAACCAATAACCTATAACCAATAACCTATAACCTATAACCTATAACCTATAACCAATAACCAATAACCTATAACCAATAACCTATAACCAATAACCTATAACCAATAACCAATAACCTATAACCAATAACCTATAACCTATAACCAATAACATATAACCTATAACCAATAACCTATAACCAATAACCTATAACCTATAACCAATAACCTATAACCTATAACCAATAACCTATAACCAATAACCTATAACCTATAACCAATAACATATAACCTATAACCAATAACCTATAACCAATAACCTATAACCTATAACCAATAACCTATAACCAATAACCAATAACAAATAACCTATAACCAATAACCTATAACCAATAACCTATAACCTATAACCAATAACCAATAACCTATAACCAATAACCTATAACCTATAACCAATAACCTATAACCAATAACCAATAACCAATAACCAATAACCTATAACCTATAACCAATAACCTATAACCTATAACCAATAACCAATAACCTATAACCAATAACCTATATCCAATAACCTATAACCAATAACCTATAACCTATATCCAATAACCTATAACCTATATCCAATAACCTATAACCAATAACCTATAACCTATAGCCAATAACCAATAACCAATAACCAATAACCTATAACCCATAACCAATAACCTATAGCCAATAACCTATAACATATATCCAATAACCTATAACCTATAACCTATAACCTATATCCAATAACCAATAACCAATAACCTATAACCTATAACCTATATCCAATAACCAATAACCAATAACCAATAACCTATAACCAATAACCTATAACCTATAACCTATAACCAATAACCTATATCCAATAACCAATAACCTATAACCTCTACCTCTAACCTCTAACCTCTAACCTCTAACCTCACCCTGGATTGGTCAATAATATAAAACCTAAGTACAAACAGGAACAGAAACACAACTCTGCCGCCAGAGAAAAATAAGAAAGATTCCTTTCTCATCAAAACATGAGACAGACAGACAGAAGGTATTTGAGACTGACAGACAGACAGAAGGTCTTTGAGACTGACAGACAGACAGAAGGTATTTGAGACTGACAGACGGACAGAAGGTATTTGAGACTGACAGACGGACAGAAGGTATTTGAGACTGACAGACAGACAGAAGGTATTTGAGACTGACAGACAGACAGAAGGTCTTTGAGACTGACAGACGGACAGAAGGTATTTGAGACTGACAGACAGACAGAAGGTATTTGAGACTGACAGACGGACAGAAGGTCTTTGAGACTGACAGACAGACAGAAGGTATTTGAGACTGACAGACGGACAGAAGGTATTTGAGACTGACAGACGGACAGAAGGTATTTGAGACTGACAGACAGACAGAAGGTCTTTGAGACTGACAGACAGACAGAAGGTCTTTGAGACTGACATGCAGACAGAAGGTCTTTGAGACTGACAGACAGACAGAAGGTCTTTGAGACTGACAGACGGACAGAAGGTATTTGAGACTGACAGACGGACAGAAGGTCTTTGAGACTGACAGACAGACAGAAGGTATTTGAGACTGACAGACGGACAGAAGGTATTTGAGACTGACAGACGGACAGAAGGTATTTGAGACTGACAGACAGACAGAAGGTCTTTGAGACTGACAGACAGACAGAAGGTCTTTGAGACTGACATGCAGACAGAAGGTCTTTGAAACTGACAGACAGACAGAAGGTCTTTGAGACTGACAGACAGACAGAAGGTCTTTGAGACTGACAGACGGACAGAAGGTATTTGAGACTGACAGACAGACAGAAGGTCTTTGAGATTGACAGACAGACAGAAGGTCTTTGAGACTGACAGACAGACAGAAGGTCTTTGAGACTGACAGACAGACAGAAGGTCTTTGTGTGGTCTTCGTATTGCAATGATTCTGTTCAGGAAGTCACAGCGAACTACAGCAGATTCCTCCTGTCTCTGTCTTTATACAGCTGACTAATATAGATAAACACAGCTGACTAATATAGATAAACACAGCTGACTAATATAGATAAACACAGCTGACTAATATAGATAAACACAGCTGACTAATATAGATAAACACAGCTGACTAATATAGATAAACACAGCTGACTAATATAGATAAACACAGCTGACTAATATAGATAAACACAGCTGACTAATATAGATAAACACAGCTGACTAATATAGATAAACACAGCTGACTAATATAGTTTAAAATACTGCTGACTAACAGAGTTTAACACTGCTGACTAATATAGATAAACACAGCTGACTAATATAGTTTAAAATACTGCTGACTAACAGAGTTTAACACTGCTGACTAATATAGATAAACACAGCTGACTAATATAGTTTAAAATACTGCTGACTAACAGAGTTTAACACTGCTGACTAATATAGATAAACACAGCTGACTAATATAGTTTAAAATACTGCTGACTAACAGAGTTTAACACTGCTGACTAACATAGTTAAACACTGCTGACTAACATAGTTAAACACTGCTGACTAACAGAGTTTAAAATACTGCTGACTAACAGAGTTTAACACTGCTGACTAACATAGTTAAACACTGCTGACTAACAGAGTTTAAAATACTGCTGACTAACAGAGTTTAACACTGCTGACTAACATAGTTAAACACTGCTGACTAACATAGTTAAACACTGCTGACTAACAGAGTTTAAAATACTGCTGACTAACATAGTTAAACACTGCTGACTAACATAGTTAAACACTGCTGACTAACATAGTTAAACACTGCTGACTAACAGAGTTTAAAATACTGCTGACTAACATAGTTTAATACTGCTGACTAACAGAGTTTAATACTGCTGACTAACAGAGTTTAATACTGCTGACTAACAGAGTTTAATACTGCTGACTAACAGAGTTTAATACTGCTGACTAACAGAGTTTAATACTGCTGACTAATAGAGTTTAATACTGCTGACTAACATAGTTTAATACTGCTGACTAATAGAGTTTAATACTGCTGACTAACAGAGTTTAATACTGCTGACTAATAGAGTTTAATACTGCTGACTAACAGAGTTTAATACTGCTGACTAACCTCTCCCACACTAACTTTACAAAATGCAAACTTGCAATGCTTTTGTTCGATTTTTTTATTGATTTTTTATGCATGGATACGATGGCTCATTGTTCGTTGTTGGCATTTCCTGCCTAAGTTTGCCCACTTTGTCAATGAAGTAATCATTAAAATAATTGGCAACATTAAAAGGTTTTGTGATGAATAAGCCATCTGATTAGCTGAAAGATGGAGTCGAATTTGTCTTTCTGCCATAGTCTTCTTCCATCATTCTTTAAATCATTGATCTTGGCTTCATAATACAGTTTCTTCTTTTTGTTGAGTTTAGTCACATCATTTCTCAATTTGCAATAAGAAATTGTGTTTTTTACATTGGATAAAAGTAGAGACTCAGAGCTAGAAAATGGTATATCATACACTGCAGTTGAGGAAAAATGGGAAAGTAATTCTGCTTTGAAAGTTGATAAACTTGTAACCCCACTATTGAGAAAATGGCCCCTTGAATGTTTTGGTACCTACTGGAGAGCTCTTCTTTGTCTACACCCATTCAGCATCGTTCACGCCCTCTTAAGCCTTAGCCCCACCCATCTCTTTACGGATTCACATGTGAGGCCATGTGCTAAACACACGCTATATTAAATAAAATCTAAGTTTATTTGTCACATGCACAGGATACAGAAGGTGTAAACGGTACAGTGATAGTACTTGCATACTTGCATAATTGCAATTTCAAAAACAAATATTTTATCGTTATTAGATGACGTTTACCCAACACACTTGTCTAAATTGATGGGTCATGTGAAGGAAATGCTATAACCCCCCCCCCCCCCCCCCAGCCACATCTAGCTGAGTGGACGGGTCACTATTGTCTAGACATGTACACATGTTCATGAAATACAATCGATGGCCGTTATCACTCCGGTTCACACTGACCGTGGCGTGTTCACACTGACCGTGGCGTGTTCACACTGACCGTGGCGTGTTCACACTGACCGTGGCGTGTGCAGAAAGTAGCCCATCACTCTTTCCTACTGATATGTCAATAGCGCCTGCTAAATTCAGGGCATCAATGTTGTTGAGAAAATAAGCAAAACTTGTGTAGTTTTCGATGGCTAACGTTATATCTATAAAATACGGCGTGGTAGAAAGGACTGTCAACACATCCTGACCAGCTCATGTTATAGACAGAAGGATGCTACATGGCAGACCAATCCAAACTCATAGACAGAAGGATGCTACATGGCAGACCAATCCAAACTCATAGACAGAAGCATGCTACATGGCAGACCAATCCAAACTCATAGACAGAAGGATGCTACATGGCAGACCAATCCAAACTCATAGACAGAAGGATGCTACATGGCAGACCAATCCAAACTCATAGACAGAAGGATGCTACATGGCAGACCAATCCAAACTCATCTTGCGGCATGTCCAGCCCATACATTATCTCAGCCAATCATGGCTATTGGGAAGGTTCCAGTCGTTTTCCATGGCTAAACCAACTAGGCTTGTAATTTAACAATTTTATTCGTATTTATGGATGGAATACAAGTTTGTTATTAAGGCACATGAAAGTTCACATGTTCCAGAAGGCATTTCTGGCAAAAAAATTAATAAATGCTGCTCCTGTGAAGTAGTGACTTGCGACCTATGAATAGTTTCCTGAAATGAGTCACATATTATTTAGATACTGACTGTTAGCACTTGGTAACTATAGCAACACCCCAAAATAAAAAGCCTTTACATGTGCCAGGTGAACCTGCAACCACAACACTTCAATAACACACGTCATAAGATCTTCTCTAAGCATTACAGGGATATGGCTTTGAATATATACAGCAACCCCCCCCCCTCAGAGATCATTTCCCTCACTTTGTCCTCAGACTCCGTCCAGGTCTCGTGGAGATTCTGCAATTCCATCCACAACGTTGTTCCGTCTTGATTGTCCCCCTTGTCTGATTTATCCTTCATTGTTATCATGGATTCACACACAGAACTGATGTCCTCTCTCAATGACTTACAGATTGCTGTCATCTTGCTGTTCTCCTGTTTCAACTAATCGAGCTGACCCTGGAAGAACTGCAAACTGTTCTTCAGGTCCTGGACCTCTCTGGTCAAACTGTTCTTCAGGTCCTGGACCTCTCTGGTCAAACTGTTCTTCAGGTCCTGGACCTCTCTGGTCAAACTGTTCTTCAGGTCCTGGACCTCTCTGGTCAAACTGTTCTTCAGGTCCTGGACCTCTCTGGTCAGGTCGTCCATTCTTTTATTAGTTGACACCACCATTATTTGGACAAAACACTTGAAGATATTTTCTTGTTGTAACAACGCCTTGTAGAACTCGTTTTCTTTGTTTAAAATATCCTTCACCTGTGATAGAGAGACACCACTGTCCTCAACGGTACTCCCGCCGGCTTTGGTCTTTGTCATGGTAACAATGTAGGTTACGCTGTTACTCCTCGTAGTTCCAGACAGGGCAGGTCCCAGGAAAGACTGGAAACAACAACAACAAACAGCAGGGATCTAGACAGCCACAAGCCCGGGACAATCCGCGGTTCCAGCCACAAGCCCGGGACAATCCGCGGTTCCAGCCACAAGCCCGGGACAATCCGCGGTTCCAGCCACAAGCCCGGGACAATCCACGGTCCCAGCCACAAGCCCGGGACAATCCGCGGTTCCAGCCACAAGCCCGGGACAATCCGCGGTTCCAGCCACAAGCCCGGGACAATCCGCGGTTCCAGCCACAAGCCCGGGACAATCCACGGTCCCAGCCACAAGCCCGGGACAATCCACGGTCCCAGCCACAAGCCCGGGACAATCCGCGGTTCCAGCCACAAGCCCGGGACAATCCGCGGTTCCAGCCACAAGCCCGGGACAATCCGCGGTTCCAGCCACAAGCCCGGGACAATCCGCGGTTCCAGCCACAAGCCCGGGACAATCCGCGGTTCCAGCCACAAGCCCGGGACAATCCGCGGTTCCAGCCACAAGCCCGGGACAATCCACGGTCCCAGCCACAAGCCCGGGACAATCCACGGTCCCAGCCACAAGCCCGGGACAATCCACGGTCCCAGCCACAAGCCCGGGACAATCCGCGGTTCCAGCCACAAGCCCGGGACAATCCGCGGTTCCAGCCACAAGCCCGGGACAATCCGCGGTTCCAGCCACAAGCCCGGGACAATCCGCGGTTCCAGCCACAAGCCCGGGACAATCCACGGTCACAGCCACAAGCCCGGGACAATCCGCGGTTCCAGCCACAAGCCCGGGACAATCCACGGTCCCAGCCACAAGCCCGGGACAATCCACCGTCCCAACCACAAGCCCGGGACAATCCGCGGTTCCAGCCTCAAGCCTGGGACAATCCATGGTCACAGCCACAAGCCCGGGACAATCCACGGTCACAGCCACAAGCCCGGGACAATCCGCGGTTCCAGCCACAAGCCCGGGACAATCCACGGTCCCAGCCACAAGCCCGGGACAATCCACCGTCCCAACCACAAGCCCAGGACAATCCACGGTCCCAGCCACAAGCCCGGGACAATCCGCGGTTCCAGCCACAAGCCCGGGACAATCCGCGGTTCCAGCCACAAGCCCGGGACAATCCACGGTCCCAGCCACAAGCCCGGGACAATCCACGGTCCCAGCCACAAGCCCGGGACAATCCGCGGTTCCAGCCACAAGCCCGGGACAATCCGCGGTTCCAGCCACAAGCCCGGGACAATCCGCGGTTCCAGCCACAAGCCCAGGACAATCCGCGGTTCCAGCCACAAGCCCGGGACAATCCGCGGTTCCAGCCACAAGCCCGGGACAATCCGCGGTTCCAGCCACAAGGCCCGGGACAATCCGCGGTCCCAGCCACAAGCCCAGGACAATCCACGGTCCCAGCCTCAAGCCCGGGACAATCCACGGTCCCAGCCACAAGCCCGGGACAATCCGCGGTTCCAGCCACAAGCCCGGGACAATCCGCGGTTCCAGCCACAAGCCCGGGACAATCCGCGGTCCCAGCCACAAGCCCGGGACAATCCGCGGTCCCAGCCACGTTCAAGCCCTCAAGAAACCCTGCTAGCTTGATAGGCAGCTAGCTAGCAGATAGGCTAGCTGCTATGCCAAACAGCTCAGCAGACCCTTGGTCGGCAGGATCACTGGACAGATAGCAGCGGTCCCAGCAACTGATGCCAACCGCGTCGCGGGATCCAAATTCAAACGTTAGCTAGCTAGTAACCAAACTTTTTCAATAGAATTTCAAAACTTTCCAAAACAACAAACTTTCCAAAACAACAAACCGAGCTCTCCCTCGTTCAACAGGAAGTGATGACAGGAAGTGACGAGTAAGACAGCACAGTGATTACAGTAGGTAGGCACAGTGATTACAGTGGGAAAGCACAGTGATTACAGTAAGAAAGCACAGTGATTACAGTTGGAAAGCACAGTGATTACAGTGGGAAAGCACAGTGATTACAGTAAGAAAGCACAGTGATTACAGTAGGAAAGCACAGTGATTACAGTAGGAAGAGAAGCAGAAAGCAGGTCAGTGCAGTATGTACAAAGATAGGCCCGCTCATATGTCTGACATGTTAAATACAGTTGAAGTGAGAAGTTTACATACACCTTAGCCAAATACATTTAAACTAAGTTTTTCACAATTCCTGACATTTAATCCTAGTAAAAATTCCCTGTTTTAGGTCAAGTTAGGATCACCACTTTATTTTAAGAATGTGAAATGTCAGAATAATAGTAGAGAGAATTATTTATTAAAGCTTTTATTTCTTTCATCACATTCCCAGTGGGTCAGAAGTTTACATACACTCTATTAGTATTTGGTAGCATTGCCTTTAAATTGTTTAACTTGGGTCAAACATTTCGGGTAGCCTTCCACAAGCTTCCCACAATAAGTTGGGTGAATTTTGTCCCATTCCTCCTGACAGAGCTGGTGTAACTGAGTCAGGTTTGTAGGCCTCCTTGCTCGCACACGCTTTTTCAGTTCTGCCCACACATTTCCTATAGGATTGAGGTCAGGGCTCTGTGATGGCCACTCCAATACCTTGACTTTGTTGTCCTTAAGCCATTTTGCCACAACTTTGGAAGTATGCTTGGGGTCATTGTCCATTTGGAAGACCCCATTTGCGACCAAGCTTTAACTTCCTGACTGATGTCTTGAGATGTTGCTTCAATATATCCACATAATTTTGCTTCCTCATGATGCCATCTATTTTGTGAAGTGCACCAGTCCCTCCTGCAGCAAAGCACCCCCACAGCATGATGCTGCCACCCCCGTGCTTCACGGTTGGGATGGTGTTCTTCGGCTTGCAAGCATCCCCCTTTTTCCTCCAAACATAACGATGGTCATTATGGCCAAACAGTTTCAATTTTTGTTTCAAAACACCAGAGGACATTTCTCCAAAAAGTACGATCTTTGTCCCCATGTGCAGTTGCAAACCGTAGTCTGGCTTTTTTATGGCGGTTTTGGAGCAGTGGCTTCTTCCTTGCTGAGCGGCCTTTCAGGTTATGTCGATATAGGACTCGTTTTACTGTGGATATACAGTGAGGGAAAAAAGTATTTGATCCCCTGCTGATTTTGTACGTTTGCCCACTGACAAAGACATGATCAGTCTATAATTTTAATGGTAGGTTTATTTGAACAGTGAGAGACAGAATAACAACAAATAAATCCAGAAAAACGCATGTCAAAAATGTTATCAATTGATTTGCATTTTAATGAGGGAAGTAAGTATTTGACCCCTCTGCAAAACATAACTTAGTACTTGGTGGCAAAACCCTTGTTGGCAGTCACAGAGGTCAGACGTTTCTTGTAGTTGGCCACCAGGTTTGCACACATCTCAGGAGGGATTTTGTCCCACTCCACTTTGCAGATCTTCTCCAAGTCATTAAGGTTTCGAGCCTGACGTTTGGCATCTCGAACCTTCAGCTCCCTCCACAGATTTTCTATGGGATTAAGGTCTGGAGACTGGCTAGGCCACTCCAGGACCTTAATGGGATTCTTCTTGAGCCACTCCTTCGTTGCCTTGGCCGTGTGTTTTGGGTTATTGTCATGCTGGAATACCCATCCACGACCCATTTGCAATGCCCTGGCTGAGGGAAGGAGGTTCTCACCCAAGATTTGACGGTACATGGCCCCGTCCATTGTCCCTTTGATGCGGTGAAGTTGTCCTGTCCCCTTAGCAGAAAAACACCCCCAAAGCATAATGTTTCCACCTCCATGTTTGACGGTGGGGATGGTGTTCTTGGGGTCATAGGCAGCATTCCTCCTCCTCCAAACACAGCGAGTTGAGTTGATGCCAAAGAGCTCGATTTTGGTCTCATCTGACCACAACACTTTCACCCAGTTCTCCTCTGAATCATTCAGATGTTCATTGGCAAACTTCAGGCGGCCCTGTATATGTGCTTTCTTGAGCAGGGGGACCTTGCGGGCGGTGCAGGATTTCAGTCCTTCACGGCGTAGTGTGTTACCAATTGTTTTCTTGGTGACTATGGTCCCAGCTGCCTTGAGATCATTGACAAGATCCTCCCGTGTAGTTCTGGGCTGATTCCTCACCGTTCTCATGATCATTGCAACTCCACGAGGTGAGATCTTGCATGGAGCCCCAGGCCGAGGGAGACTGACAGTTCTTTTGTGTTTCTTCCATTTGCGAATAATCGCACCAACTGTTGTCACCTTCTCACCAAGCTGCTTGGCGATGGTCTTGTAGCCCATTCCAGCCTTGTGTAGGTCTACAATCTTGTCCCTGACATCCTTGGAGAGCTCTTTGGTCTTGGCCATGGTGGAGAGTTTGGAATCTGATTGATTGATTGCTTCTGTGGACAGGTGTCTTTTATACAGGTAACAAACTGAGATTAGGAGCACTCCCTTTAAGAGTGTGCTCCTAATCTCAGCTCGTTACCTGTATAAACCTGGGAGCCAGACATCTTTCTTATTGAGAGGGGGTCAAATACTTATTTCCCTCATTAAAATGCAAATCAATTGATAACATTTTTGACATGCGTTTTTCTGGATTTTTTGTTGTTATTCTGTCTCTCACTGTTCAAATAAACCTACCATTAAAATTATAGACTGATCATTTATTTGTCAGTGGGCAAACGTACAAAATCAGCAGGGGATCAAATACTTTTTTCCCTCACTGTAGATACTTTTGTACCTGTTTCCTCCAGCATCTTCACAAGGTCCTTTGCTGTTGTTCTGGGATTGATTTGCACTTTTCGCACCAAAGTACGTTAATCTCTAGGAGACAGAACGTGTCTCCTTCCTGAGCGGTATGACGGCTGCGTGGTCCCATGGTGTTTATACTTGCGTACTATTGTTTGTACAGATGAACGTGATACCTTCAGGCATTTGGAAATTGCTCCCAAGGATGAACCAGACTTGTGGAGGTCTACATTTTTTGGGGGCTGATTTCTTTTGAGTTTCCCATGATGTCAAGCAAAGAGGCACTGAGTTTGAAGGTAGGCCTTGAAATACATCCACAGGTACACCTCCAATTGACTCAAATGATGTCAATTAGCCTATCAGAAGCTTCTAAAGCCATTACATCATTTTCTGGAATCCAAGCTGTTTAAAGGCACAGTCAACTTAGCGTATGTAAACTTCTGACCCACTGGAATTGTGATACAGTGAATTATAAGTGAAATAATCTGTCTGTAAACAATTGTTGGAAAAATTGCTTGTGTCATGCACAAAGTAGATGTCCTAACTGACTTGCAAAACTATAGTTTGTTAACAAGAAATTTGTTGAATGGTTGAAAAACGAGTTTTAATGACTCCAACCTAAGTGTTTGTAAACTTCCGACTTCAACTGTAAAGTTCAAATCATTACCGATGACCAAGACACGTTATATAGAGCTCCCAAAGTTCAAATCACTACCAATGTCATTTATGAAAAAACTGTTGTAGGTAGAAGCATCCGACAAGGCTTTTCTCTATTACCTTTATTATTTGGAGGCTCTCCTTTCCTCCTTCTTCTCTGTTACTGAGTTGATTTATTTACCTAAACTGCTGCATCTTTGATGTCTTACATTTTTTACATGTTAGTCATTTAGTAGACGCTCTTATACAGAGTTGGGGTTAGGGGAGGGTTAGGGGAGGGTTGGGGTTAGGGGAGGGTTAGGGTTAGGGGAGGGTTGGGGTTAGGGGAGGGTTGGGATTAGAGTTAGGGGAGGGTTGTGGTTACGGTTAGGGGAGGGTTGGGATTAGGAGAGGGTTGGGGTTAGGGAAGGGTTGGGGTTAGGGGAGGGTTGGGGTTAGGGAAGGGTTGGGGTTAGGGGAGGGTTGGGGTTAGGGGAGGGTTGGGGTTAGGGGAGGGTTGGGGTTAGGGTTAGGGGAGGGTTGTGGTTAGGGGCAGGTTGTGGGGGTTAGGGTTAGGGGATGGGTTGGGGTTAGGGGAGGGTTGGGGGTTAGGGTTAGGGGAGGGTTGTGGTTGGGGTTAGGGGAGGGTTGGATGGAGGGATAGGGGAGGTTGGGGTTAGGGTTAGGAGATGGACACTCACTTGGGTGACTTGAGGTCTCTGTGTATGATCTTGTGGAGGTGCAGGTAGTTCATCCCAGAGGCGATCCCTGAGGCCCAGTCCACCAGCAGTCTGGGGGTTACCTTCCGTCCAGCCCTCAGAACCTCATAGAGCTGGCCCTGGGAACAGTACTCCATTAATATACAGTAACACGGAGCCTGGGTGCACACACCCCTGGAGAGGAGAGAGAAGAAGGAGAGGAGGGAGGAGAGGAAGGAGAAGAGGAGAAGAGAGGATGAGTTATAAAGTAAAAAAGATGTGACACTGTACTCCATAATGGTACAATAGAACGGAGCTGGGGTGCACGACAGAAGGGCGACACTGAGAGAGACATTTAGGGCAGATTTCCTAGACACAGATTAAGTTTAGTACTAGACTGAAAAGCAACTTGACATCATACAACAGCAAAAACTCCTGTAGCAACTCCTCAAACAATAGTTCCGCTTGATGGTCTCAGGGTGTTTTCACATATAGTCCTCTTTAAAAGAACTGATCTCAGTCCTCTTTAAAAGAACTGATCTCAGTCCTCTTTAAAATAACTGATCTCAGTCCTCTTTAAAAGAACTGGTCTCAGTCCTCTTTAAAAGAACTGATCTCAGTCCTCTTTAAAAGAACTGATCTCAGTCCTCTTTAAAAGAACTGATCTCAGTCCTCTTTAAAAGAACTGATCTCAGTCCTCTTTAATGTGAACTCTGGGGTAAAAAAAAGCCAAAGAACTCACGTATCTTGCCCTTGCCTTTGAATGATGACTCAACTCTTTCACCAGTTCACTTCAACTATTTTGTGGACCGAGTCCTCTTTGCATTCACATTGCTATGTTTAGAAAGGAACCAAGATATTTTTCCAACATGCACTCTGGGTTTTTACAAAGTGCAGGACAAGCCATTCAATCAGAATGTATTATCAGACAGCTAGATATACCTACTTACATTATGGAAGCTAATAGATTGCATTTAGTTAAAATATGAGACATAATAATTGTAATCAGAAGATATTATTAACATGTACATTTGATTGGTAACAGAATAAATAGTAATAGAATAACTGCAGAATAAATAATGATGTAATGAATTGAAGACCCAAAGTAGGCAACTGCCCCTTTAAGAGCTAGAATGGATATTGTACCCTGTTGTGATTTTTACCAGATATGTTGTTGTCTTCTGACACTATTCAAACCCCACAATCAATAAACAGCTTATGAAGCTCTCCATAAATATTTTGGAATTTCTGTGCTAATCAATATTAAAAAACAGCACACATTTTTTTCCGCGAACCTGCACATCATCATCTTCTATCTTTTGTGGCACCAATGTGAGGGGTTATGGCAGGGGAAACAGTGTTGCAGTAGTC